CCCCCTCACTGCTGTCTCTCCCATTCACTTGTTTTATTTTCTTCTCACTTACTAGCTCCATCTGGGCCACCGGAGAACTTCGAGGTCAAGCCACTTAGAGGGAAAGGAACTGCTGTCATAGCAACATGGGATCCACCTGAAGAACCCAATGGGAGGATAAGAGGTCAGGCAATGAGGAATTATTGAATCCCTGATGGCTAACATATCAGTTTAGAAAATCCTTGGTATTTTATTTATTTTGAGTGCCCGCTTTATGAGTGCTCTCCACTGGTTGGGATATTTGGTACTGACTGTCAATGTTAGTGCTGTAATCAGATAAGAACACACACTATTCAGAAAGCAGGTCACAGGACACCTTGATGCATAATGTGTATTGTACAATAATAAATAATTATGTTATAGTGGTAATATAGTAATGTTCAAACTACCTCCCTTCAGTCTTTTTCTTAACAGTTATTCATGCTCTACCTCCACACAGAGTACATCATGTCTTATGCTCCTGCTATGAAGCCATTTGGAATGAAAAGTGTGACGTATGGTAGCAGCGCCTCCACAGCCACTGTAGATGGCCTCACACCGGGAGAACGGTACATCTTCAAGATCAGAGCCACCAACAGGAGGGGCCAGGGCCCCCAGAGCAAAATGCTCAGTGTTGTCATGCCAGGATGTAAGCACAGTCGACTTTATACAATATGAGTGTGCATGTATGCTTCAAAATGTGTATTATTCCTAAACTTACAACAACCTTTGTCTACTGCCAGCCAGCAGCGGGGCCTCATCATCGTCAAAAACCAAAGACAGCCGCAGGACTAGCCACACTCCTTCCAAACAGGATACAGATCATGAGGAATCGGATCTCCAAACAACAGAGGCGCCAGAAGAACCAACAACAACAACTCCTCGACCACGGCATGTTGCACCTGTCAGGCGTGGACGTCCCCTCTCCCAGTCACGCTCCTATCACAGCATCTTGTCCTCTGTAAGGGGGTCTGGCAGGAACAGAGGGTCATCCAGAGGAAGAGTTCAAGATAAAGAAGAGAAAGAAGAGGAGAAAGTACCCACAACGCCTACTCCAGTAAAAGAGACGACAACCATAGAGGTTGTACCAGAGCCCAACGTCCCAGACAATGATGCTTCCCCTGAATTTGAAGAAGAATTAGTATATGATGAAGAGGTTCTAACTACAGAGACCCCCAGCCTCAAAGTTTCAACGCCCTCTCCAACTAAACCTCGTCCACGTCCACAGCCCAGAAGGCCCATCAAGATCCGGGTCCATCAGAAACCAGGATCCAAGGCTGATTCATCCTCTTCTTCATCTTCATCTCCCTCATCTTCTGGTACTTCTTCCTCTTCTTCTGATTCATCCTCATCTTCTGCTTCCTCCTCTTCAGCATCATCCTCACCTTCTTCAACCTCATTGTCCTCATCTTCACGTATTCAAGAGTCAGCTGCCAGTAGAAAGGACTACGTGGCTTCAGCATACCCAGAGAGCAAAGACACCTTTGATAAACCGATCCCAACACGTACAAAACCATCATCTACGCTTTTAAAAGAGACAAATCCACAGCAGACAGGGGCCACATCTGTCGGTAGAGGTTCAGCTTCAGCGGGGCGCCCCAATGGGTCTGGTTTTGGCTCTAGATATGGTTTCGGTCGGAGAAATCCTGGGATTTCTTCCAGAGGAAATTCCTCTCGAATGCTGAATGGTAACAAACCTGCCATCACCTCACAGATGAATTTACCAAGCAGGACTTCAAACACACACAGTTCAGCATCACAGTCGACTTTAACAGACAGGACTCAAAACCACGGAACAACACATACTTTAAATTCAGCCACATCCAGGTCCCCTTCAGGAAGTGGAACCCACAGCCAGGCTACATCAGACACATATAATGTTGACAAATCACAGTCGTCATCAGGGTCCAAGCCTGAAGGCTCTACAACTTCCCAGAGCTCAGGCAGCAATCCATCCACTTCACATAGCAGTCCAGACATCCCATCCAACACAGACAGCGCCGGCTCATCTCAGTCAACTTCACACAGAGGATCTCACAGCCCTGCAACTCTACCAAAAACACCTGAGCGAGATGCAACATACAACAATGGAAATGATGACGGTGATTACAAAAACACAGACGCGGAATCAACCAAAGTTGAAGAACCGACTTCAAGCTCTAAACCACAACCCACAGTGGAGGTGAGACGGGAGGAGGAAAGAAAGGAGGATAGCAGTAATGGGAAACCTGTGGTTCCTCATACCAGAATGAACCTCTCATTCGCTGAAAGGTTTCCCTGGATAAAGAGCCGTTACCCAGGCAGGTTTGGTCAAGGGACGAGAGCTTCATCTTCCAGGCAGGAGGGTAGACCCCCCTCCACCAGGACGTCATCTTCAGTCGGGGCCGGCAGACCCCTCTTGAGGGGGGTACCCACTAGGGTTTCAGGGGCTACAGGTGCTGCCGGTGTATCAACAATACAGGAGACAAGTGCAGATCTAGGGAAGCAGGACTCCCTAAAGAACGGAGTAGGGGAAGGTTCTGTAAAGCCTCCTCTGACCAATCAAAATACAGTATCTAGTGATTCTAGAAACCCAACTACCTCATCCTCTTCATCATCTTCCTCTGGGGCAGCCACTTCTTCTAACTCTGAATCCCGTCATTCCTCAGGTGGACATAGAGACTCAAGTGTGCCAGTCCATAGGGAAACTTCAAATAGTAATGATCAGAATGAGGATTATCTTGATGAAAGGAGTAGAGAATTAAGTAGAAACAATGATAAAGTTGCAGATCCTACAGCGGCCCAAAGGAATCCTGCTTTAACTTCAGCAAACAGAAACTTGGAGGACAATGAGAGTTTGGATACAAGGGAAACTTCTTCCAGGACAAGACCTGGTTTACCATCGGGAGGTGCTTCACCTTATCGCCGTCCTGGGATGGGGGGCAACGGGAGGGTCCGCTCTCCTCCGCTTGGTAACAGGCCGTTTGGTGGATCTAGGCTTCCTTTGGGAGCACAGCCAGCACAGAACTCAAGGCTCGGTTCTTCAACATCCGATGGCTCCTCAACATCATCTGATGCCGCTTCTTCCTCAAATATGCCCCAGCCAGTTTTGACCTCGGATCGTGAAGTTGCCAGTGGCAATACTGTGACAAAGACAGGGGGATTAATTGGAGGCAACTCCCAGTCTACATCGTCGTCCTCAGCATCTTCATCATCATCTAGAGACAGCTCTAGGGGCCAGGGGGGTCGGTCTCGCCATTCCATCGTTAGAGGGAAACTACCCAATGGAGGACAAGTCAATGGGAACGGTAATGTCGATTGATATAATGCATGACTTCCTGCCACCTTTCTATATCTGAAAAGGTGCAAGGATTTGCTTGGGCAAAAAAGTAAATTATAATATGTATATGTGTTATAATCTCATCAGTAAATCATTGAATACTTATCTTAAATTGTATTATTGTAAGGTAAAAATGGACGACCCAATCTGACAGCTACAAGTGATAAAGAGACCCCCACTTCTCATGGAACCAACAAGGCTGTTGGTCAAAGGTTTATCACTGGACCTGATGGATCCAAATGGGTAACTATGTTTCTTACATTACGAACTCATAACTTTGAAATGCCACATGTTGACTGGATCTATTTTAAAGAGTAGTGAATAGTACAATAACTATTGTCTATCTCTAATCTCTTAAGGATGAGGCAAGAGTTCACATTTGTCTATATAGGTTGCTGTAAAGATTAAGCAAATATTGTTGTTCCTCCAGGTGGTGGACTTGGAGCGAGGAGTTCTTATGAACCAGGAGGGACAAGTCCTCCAGGACTCACAGGGTAAACCTAAGAGAGTGGTGCTTGGAGAGGACGGACAAACAATCTTTGGTAATATGCTTCAGTCAATATTTACATTATATTTAAACACACGGTATACAGCTTTGATGTGTATAAGAATATGTGCTTTAATTGTTCAAGACAAGTCATAAATAGGCTGTTAACCCATCTCCTTGCTTCTCACTCCACCAGACCACCTGGGCAGCCCCCTGGTAAACCAGGAAGGCATGGCTCTGTTTGGCCACGGCCGGGACAGTCAACCTGTGATCAACCCAAAAGACAAGATCCTCATGGTTGGAGGGAAACCTTTACTTGGCTTGGACCGTCACCACCACAGACCAACCACCACCACCAAAGCCACCACAACCAGGGCAACTACCACCACCACCACACCTGAACCCACCACCACTGAATGGATCATAGAGTCTACCACGGCACCACTTTACCCAACCTGTCCACCTGGTACCTTCTCCAAAACAGATGAGTACGGTTACCCACTGCTGGATCCAGAAGGAATATTGGACTGTTATCCAGAAGGTGAGACTGAAAGACACTAAATTAATTATAATACAATGTAGACAGCACTTTTAAAGATGGATTTAAATAAAGATGAATGCTTAAGGAATGAAAATACTGCAGTGCCTCGACTGCTTTGTAAATAGCTTTCCCACAAAACTCTAGTCAAGTTCAGAAAAGTATTTTAAAACCAGAATAGTGAACATAAATAATTATGACTTCAAGGAATATCTCAGTTGTATTCTTTGTTAAACCCATCGAGGCCAAGGCCAAGAGTGTTTCCTGTCTGTTCCTTACACAGCACTATAACTCTGCAACAGTGTGTGCTAACTGTTTGATCTGGTCAGCGTGTGTGTGTAGATGTGTGTGTGTGTCTATGTGAGACCACAGAAACCACATGTAAGTCTCCACATCTGGGGCCTGGCTGTGGTCAGAGTGCTGCTGATTTCAAACACACTACAGAGCTGTCAGTTGAACGTTGCTATAAGTGTTATCGCACAAAGGCAATGAATGAAGCATACGCACATTCATGACCACACAAAGCATGGCTATTATAGTTATTACAGCACATATGGTGGGGGATTTAAAAATCATTAAACTAAACCAAGTCTATAGGTTCAGAGTTGTAGATGTGCAATCAACCAAAACACTAAAAAGAAACTTTGATTTTTCATATAAAAGTATACCATAAAGACAAATATAACTGTGGGCGTAGAACTGCCGCTGTTTATTGCATTGCATGAACTTTAAGTGTATCGTAAACGTACAAATTATGGTCCATATTAGTTAATTTTATTATTATAAATAATAAGAAAAAGTTTAAAAGGCTGCTTTAGCTATGTGAACATTTGGAGGAACTCATTTAATATTTAGTTGTGTGGTTCTAATGAAATCTTGACAAGTCATAAATACATTTTTAGTGTGTGTTCCCCTACACATATTTATTTTTGTTTGCGAGAGAACCATGGTGATTCTGATTTATATCTTCAGTGTTGTTTCTGAGAAATTGTTATCCTAATAAAAATGGATAAAGTCCCATAGAAAGTCTTATTATACTGTACAAACATCTCGTTATACTACAGAAAATTCTCATAATATTGTCCAAATGTTAATGTTGTGATGACATACCGTATAAAAGTAAACGTTCCCCACTGTTACAAAAATATTATGATAATGATTTTTTCCCACTGTTGCAGCGCAGTGCTCATTATTAGTCCTGCTGTTATATGAACAACCTCAAATATAAACTGCGACGGCTACAATTTGTTTCCTTGTAAGGTCTTAAATAGAGAAAGTGGGGCCAAAAGGGAATTTGCAACACAAGATCAAAATGATACTGGTACTGCAATATGTATGTAGGTTGGTGTGTGGATGTATGGGTGTGAGTCTATGTGTGTGCCAGATCAGAAATGTGTACATGGTCATGTGATGCTACAGCTTGTTCTACTTTTCTGACAGAGGAATCCTCAGGAATGGAAATGGACCACATGGTTACATTAACCATGGTGCCTGATGCTTTAGCTCTTGAGAAAGGTATTGGCTGAGTTTGGCTTCCCACCGACTTTCCGCCACTGGGCCGGGGTTTCCTGAACGGCACTATATGCACCTTGTTTGATGACCGTGTACCGCACTGCTTGTTTGCTAGCCCTTCCTGTGTCTTCCTCTCTGCCTTGCCTGTGGTCGTCACTTTCTTTCTCCTCTTGTACGTTTGTTTGGCTTGGTTTTTGTTTTATGGCTTGGCTTTTGGATACTTTCCATTATGGCCTGTTTTAAATCACTTTTATTCCAGAAACTGGACCATGTAACTGCATTACTAAGCTGAACTGAATGTTTTGGTTAATAATTTAATGCAATTTATTTGCTGTTCTTAAAGTTGCTTTGTACTGTAATAGTTAAACCCTGGCTTTGTTCAAACACGAGCTGAATGGTAAACTGCAGGGTTTAGTTGATGAGAGCTTTAGTCATGATTTCACCACAGGTGTTTGGATTCTCTTAGAAATTCTCTTGCATGTGAGCACAATTTCATATTTTCTTTCTTTTCAGGGGGTTGGCTTGAAAAGATACATTGAGCATTACAATATTTTCTTAGCATTTCCCTGCCATGGCTCAAGGCTGGGTGCATGTGTTTGGACCATGATGTAATGCCAAGGCCCGCTGATTCGGCACAGGGGGGAAAAAACAGTGATGAAAGCAGAAGGAACTAATTGGATTCCTCTCACTGGATCACTTCACATTTGTCAGCCTTGGAGACTTGTGAAATGGTCGTTGTCCTTTTCCTCACATGGAAAATATGGGTAGCAAAACATTACTTATGAATACAGCATGGGGTGGTAGGGGGAAAAAAGGGGTTCCTGAAAGTGAGCTCACACATCTGCCCACTAATCAATTTGACTCTTATTCCGTAGATCATGGCACCAATTAGGGAGGATTAATGCAGGTTATTGAGTTAGGATGTAAATAATTGAAATCTTCTTTGATTAAAAGCTCACTAACATGTGTTGTTGCCAGATGAGTTTCTTGTCCAGACCACCCTGCCGTCCACAACAACAACCACCACAGAGATCCCCACTCCAGAGCCAGACACCAGACCATCGAACCACGGCCCGTCGTCAGAGCTTGACCTCAGCGGGAAGAAGAGATTCACAGGTACTTCAACACAGAAACCACAGTGTTACTCTAACACAAATACCCTTAAAGGTCCCCCATTATACTGTCATCAATATATTATAGGTCTCAGATATATATAAAACATGTCTCTGAAGTGTTAGAAATACTAACAGATCATGCATTGTAGCATCCCATAAACCCCTCTGTTTCAGCCCTGTTTCAAAAGTGCTGATTCTGGGTCTGTTACTTTAACTCACTAGCTTTTCGTTACACAATTTTAACATACTGTAATCTCTTCCAGAGCTTAGCTTTGATTTTCTCTTGCAGCTCGAGTCTCATATTTCAGGTTGAACATCATATTTCCAATCTTTTTAAAGGACTTTCATCTCCCTCAGACAGATATACAGCTAATGTGGGAAAAGCAACGCTTCTCTCAGAGATGATGCTTTTCTCTTCGTTTCTCTATACTTAAACTTTGAGAATGTGGTTTGTAAACACATTTTTATTAGGCATATTGGATCGCCTTTATGAAAAAAAAGTCATCAAATAGAAAACAAATATATACTTTCGTCTGATGTTTGAAAACCATCCTCTTCTAAAATATACCTTTTTATGTTTACTGTCAAATCCAGAGAAAGGCACATATTATCTTCACCGGAAGGCATGATAAATAACATTTGTCTCTTGCTAGGAAAGTTAAAGAGAACATGATTTAGCATGTATACTTGGCTTCTGAGCACTCCATGTTCTTTGTGTCCCTGTTTGGGACTGGTTTGATGAATGTGTGGCTGTGGTGTAAATAATGATGGCTGATGGGAGTTCTGTCTTGTTTCTTTTGGGAGGAATAAAAATGGACCTCTATCTTGGCTTTCTTGGAATTACCTCGTAAATCTAGGGCCCTCTAAGACTTCACAGTATCCATCGGCCAAAAAAAAGGAAACACTTACAAACACTTAAATGTAGCATGAGTTACTTTTCTCATTCATATCATAATGTAGCGAAATGCAGCTATAGTAAAGCACTAAATCAATGATCTGTGAAATATATATATATGAGAATCAACATCCATGAGAATGGAAAACGGGAATAAGTGTATCCATCTAATAGTTGATTTTAATGGGTCGCTTCCATCTGTAATTGGATCATATCATAGAGTTCACGGAGGACACATTGCTCAGGGTGTAGAGACGTGATCTCAGTAAACTTTGGCCCCATGCTCCTTTTACTGTTCCTATGTGCTTATTTTGGCGTCTCATAATCACCTCATCTAGTTGCACAAAGAGACCGCATTATTCTCTTGACAGATACAAAAAAACAGCCTCTACATGACTTCAACCTCATAAAAACAACTTAATGTCAGAGGTCCTTTCAATAATGCTTTGTTTAATGACGGTACTTTTTGTAATGTTATCATCTGTTGGAATAACAATCGTGAAGACATTGTATCAGACTTGAATATTACAAGCATTTACAGACAAATACTTGTAAGTACTCAATGTTTAGCTTCTGAAAATGTAGTTCTATTCAGTTAGACCATGATCAGTTATAAGGGATATACAGTTAATACAGTTTGAGACTGTTTTAGGAATAAACCTGTCTTTTACTATATTGTTAAGTCAGCCGTAGCCTAGCAATAGCTAAAATATAAAGAGTTCTGTCAACATGTGTAAAAAAAAAACTGCAGGAACCTAATATTGCACATACGCATATTGGGATCTGTAAAGAGACCGATTACAAAAGCAATGTTCAAAATGAACACAGTGAAAGCCAATATATTGGGACTTTTATTACTTAGCAAGTGTCAAAAGCACTGGATGCTACACTTCCCATAATGCAACTCAAGCCAAGATGCATGAAAGGTGAAGCATGAGTTTTAAGACGTAACAAAAATCCTTCCAAAGTCTTTACAGATTGTGTGGAACTTCCCGTGGGAGCAATTTGACTTTGAGCTATAAAGTAGTCGGAGTGTAAAATATTGCACCTATTAAAGCCAATTCTAATAAAAACTATCGCTGTAATTTAGTGCCATTAGTTGCCATACTAGTCTAACAAATTGAGATAATGGATAAAACTGAGTAATTGCTTTGGTATTATCCATTGACAATTTGATGTCAGTGTTATATTAATCCATTGGGACAAGAAGATGGAGTACCCTGGGCCCCATCTATCTTGGTAAACAACGGCTCTCTTGTGATCACCTCACAGCGCCATCTGAAAACTATTACTCTTCCTGAGATAAAAACAGGCATTGGAAATCATAAAAGTTAGGGGTGCTGACCTCAGTACAGAGAGAAGGCTTTTTTGGCTCGATGTGGAGACATCCTCTTCCCTATTTATTAGTTTCATATATTCTAGCTTCACATTCAGCAGTCTGCCAGTCTACTGACACGCTTTGCATTAACTGTTTGACTGAGACTTCCCTTTGGTCTCGTTATCTGCCCAGGGATGGTTTGGATGAATCTAACCTCAGCCAAAACGTGGGACAAAAAGTACAAACTAATAATTATTAGCAGTTGCTTGAATCTGCCTTACAGTAAGAACCAGATGGATGGAGTTTGCCACATGACTACCAGGACGTTTAGACTATGAAAATACTTCCTTATGCCTTACTAGACTGATATTAGAGTTGACACTATGTGAACTGTCCTAATACTGTTTCCCAGTGTCATTTGATCCACGTCTGGCTCACAGTGTTTTGACAGACAGAAGGACAAATGAACAGAGCACAACATCTGGATCTTCTTTGTGTCTGAGCCAGTGCTGATCCTGGACATGTGGATGCTGTACTGAAATGCAGCCTTACAAGCCTCTGTGACACATAAATCTGCTCACCTTGATGACAGATCAATAACATAAGCCATATGATTGTATACACACACAGTAAGAGCTAGTGACAGCCTAAACCCATAGAGCCTCACTGTGTTGATGTGTTGATACTGACACATGTTGGACTCTTGGCCTGCGCAGAGGGCCAATCATTTTGGGAGGTGGGAGCGACTCCAGTCAGACTAGGAATTGTGGGATATCTAAAGTATTCACAGCTGTAGGTCCAGCTGGCATTTTAAGAGTTGAAAACAACAGAAAGTGACACAATGGGGAGAAGAGAAAACAAAGCAAAGATAGCTGGGCAATTATACCAACTTCTTTGAAAAATGACTACAAATAAACCACAAATAACATTGAAACTAGAGGGGTGTTTTGAAGTGCAGACCTCCGCCAACGCTCTCAATGTTAATGAAAGTGAAAAGTAATGTGCATGTAAGCCCTGTGGTTCTGATCACTTAACAATTTAATTGGTTCTTCCTTGGCCCTTCTACACCATTCCACCAAGTTTCATTGAAACCATCGGGATGTTTTTCAGTAATAAATTGCCAAAACAATCAAATAAATACCTTCTCTTCTGCATCACTTTTCCTTTCCCTCAGCTCCTTATGTGAACTACATCCGGAAGGACCCTTCTTCTCCTTGCTCCTTGACTGAGGCTCTGGAGTTTCTTCAGGTTGACGTCCTAGAAGACCTGATACGAAAGGACAGCCTGGCAGCCAATCAGAAGCAGCCTCCCAAAGACAAGCCTCGCAACTTCACCGTGGTCGCCATGGAGGGCTGTCACTCATTCATCATCCTGGACTGGGGCCGCCCACTGAAGGACGATATGGTGTCAGGTGAGACGAATAGGCAAAGTATGAAATGTTTTTTGACCTGTGTATTTATTCAATCAAAAATCTGTTACATATAATCAGACCTTTGTTACATTTATTTCCCTTCTGTGATTTTTGGCCCAAACTATCCACAGTCAAGTTTCCATCCAGATGTAGCACACATTTTTAAATCAGATATCCTGGAATAAACCGCAAAACAAAAAGAAAATGTTGCAGAAAAAAAGAGCTTCAGTGATAAAAACACGAAAAGACATGATGCAAATATGGCATTTATGTTTGTCTTATGTCTTTATTAGGAAAAACGATACAGCTCACACATATCTGATTATTTTGTCTGCCACTATTTGTCAGCTTTTCCTCTGTGGTTTGGGATAAGCCTTAAACATGTAACGACCATCCCTCCTGACCCTCCTGAGATTTTAGGAACTCACTCCAGCAGTTTATTGTGCATAAATCATGAGAACAGACTGCATTGAACACATGTTATAGGGCTCTTCAGCTCCTGCAGAGAGTCTCAGGGAAAACCTAAATTCCTTTTACCTAGAAAGTGACACATGAGGGAAAAACAGACGGAGAGTTGAGATAAGAGCATACTGTATGAGACGTGGTGACTGTCAGAGGCAGCCGTCTGGCCAGAGAGAGAGGTAGTATGTTTTCTTTGGCGGGGAAACAAGCTCCCAGTCATACTGTGGGCTGGTCCATCCACTGATGTGTAAAACAGATAGTACTCTCTACTCTCTACAGTGTTTTCTTTCCATCTGTTGTCCTTGAAGTTCCCTATACTGGCACACTATCTTGACACTTAATTTTTGAACTTAAGTTGTCTGGACATGTCTGCACCTTCCACTGATTTCTCCCATTTCAAAAACCGACTTCGGTTGATCTTACATGCCATGCTACCTTCCAAAAAACGCATTTCCTTTGATGTGTTGTGAAGCTTGTACTGATTCTCTGCTGATATCAAAGATATCAAAGGTAGTTGTTCAAAACACAGAGAGCTTCTAGCTTGTGGATTTCATACAGTATCGTAGTACTGCAAAGACATTTTCTGATACACACACATATGCAGGTAAAGTTCACACATGCAGATACGATCACAAGGTGCTGTTTTAGTTATTAGGGCTGGTTTTCTCTGCCATGTCTTACGAGTTATGGGTCACGGCTTTCAAAACAAGTGGATGGAAACAGCTGTTGGCAAGTGAACTCAAGAGATGAAGGGACATTAGGCACAACAAGTTTTAACTTTAATCCAACTTCTGGTTCCATTTACTGATGCATTAAGGACCTTTTATTTAAGGATGTGGGCAAAACACATCATCCACTGTTTATTATAAGTGTTGCGTTCGGCTCAAAGGACCTGCTCCTTTGGAATCATTTAATACACCAAAAGGAGAAAAATAGTAGGCCAGTGTCTACATCCTACTATATCAAACTTCAGTTTAACAGTGTAGAATGGAGAAGGAATGAAAAACCCAAAAGAAGAAAAACAAAGTAGCTAGTGTTTCCCCTCCTCTCCTGTCAACAGACAGCTGTGTTGGTGCGGCTCCAGTCAAAATAGAAACTCGGATTCAGAAGTCCAATAGAAACAGAGGGTAGTTTGATGTGCGGCAGAGTTGCTCTCCATACTTTTAAAGCGAGTGATCGAGTGCCTCGTGACCTGAGGTTGCTTACCAGATTCTAAGGATCAGTCTGCGTGACTGAAGAGAAGAAAACAGACGGCAGGTTGGAGGACGGTCAGCAGACGTTTAAGAAAATGCAACGGCTGCAGTTTTCTCTGTTTAATATATGGGGGACCACCTACTCTCACAAAATAATTTAAAGCATAAAGTAAATGTTGATACTTTATCAATAGCAAAGGTCATGTGAGTCCAAGGTTGGTAAAGCAGAAAAGCTGCTGGGTTTGTTACTTTTGGACAGAGGCAGCCGAGCCCTTTCCAGGTTATCTTTATTGTCCCACTAGGGGGCATTTATTTTGCAGCCAGGCTTCACATATATAAAGGGAATACCAAAAGACAGCATAAAAACAGCTAGCAACAAAATAACAGCTGCTTCCTGATGTTTTCAAGCACACTGCCTTTGTTGCCTTGTTTCCCAACACGCGGTGCCTTTCCAAAGTTATTATTGATCCCAATAAAAATCTCCTGGTTTAGATTTTGATCCAACAAAAAAATGTATGGGATCATCCACGGTCTGGGAATTCTATCATATTCGCAGGAGAATATTGCATCTGTATTTGATTGCTTGGGAATCGTGGTTACCCCAGGCAAAGTTCACAATAAATGCCAAAAAGGATAAGTAATAAATATCCATTCCTGACAAGTTCAAAAAAAAAACACTAAGAAGAAAAAGTGAGTCAGTGTAAGAATCACTAGAAAAATACCTTTTTAAAAAACAGATTGTTGTACCAAGCTAAGCTAACCAGCTGCTGATGCTAGCTTCATATTTACCTTATTGACATTTTACGGTATCGTCTGTCTCATCCAACTTTTGGTTAAATAAGATTTAAAGTCTCAAAATGTCAAAGTATTCATCTCTTAGTGAACTTGAGCTTATTGTTTTGTGTTATGTCGGACAGCAACAGCTAAAGATCTCTTTTCTTTTGTTCGTTCATTATTCCCCACAGGCTACATGGTGCACAGTGCTTCATATGACGACGTCCTCAACAATAGATGGTCCTCTAGCCCCTCCAGTGGGACACACCTGGCTGTGGAGAACCTCAAACCTAACTCCAGGTATAACACATTACCACCTGCTGTGTGTTTACATCAATGTGTACGCATGCATACAACACACACATGCTCGTTTCGGGGTTGATTTCAGGTTCAGTGATTCCCAGTATCATCGCACACATGGGAGTCATAGAAAAAGAGAATCTGATTTACAAACAAAGATTTGTTATGTTGAAACATGGCTTACTCAGAACTGCATGTAATGTTTCCTAAGCCTCAGGTGCAGGTGTTTGGCTCTGAATGATTGTTTATAAATGCCGTCATGACATAGTGCGCGAAACGTGCGTGTTGTCTGGATGTTTGTTTCGTTTCATGTGCACATGCATACGTGTCTGTTGGTATTGTTCCATTGTGTTGGTTGGATGCTTAGACTGTAATGCTTGTGTGAGACATCATAAATCCCTCATAGTGAACTAAATCAGTTTGGCTAAACACATTTGAATGTGCGCCAAAATGTGACATGCCGTAAAATGTCTGTAAAGATCCTAGAAAAATTCTGGCTAACGTAAATATAGCGCACTTTATCTGACACTTTCACAAGGATACAGTCACCTCGGTCTGTTTCAGTTATTAGGTTTTCCAGAACCCTGTCTTACGAGACATGGGTTGCGGTTTTCCAAATAAATGCATGGAAAACGCTCTTAGCATGTGAACCCGAGAGAGGAAGGGAGAGTTCTTTGCCTAAAAACCTTTTTGTTGTTCCACTTCAAGGGTACGGTTTAATAGTACTCCAGCTTTTCAGCAAGTTTAATCGAATTACATGGGACTAAAGGATCAGTTTAGTCATAATTGAGCCAATGTGTGATACAAGTAAAATCATGTACGGTAAATCGTTTCCTACCTTTCACAAAAAAATGGTTGTCTGAGAATGAATTTCAGATGTGTGCGTTCATCAGGGATAAAATGATCCTTTTGAGCAGTGCAGGCACAAATCTGCTCAAGGTGTTATTATAGGTGTCATTTTGTGGACCTTCAGAACCCAAACACCTGCTGCTGAACCCAAACAGAGCTGTGGTGCTTTAGCTAAAGTTTTCCTAGAATCTGCAAAGAGGGATTCCCTCCCTGGCAACCAGTTTGTATTCAGGATAGTGCGTCTCCCTTGGTTACGTTTGATACCGGGATGGTTTATGTGACAGGGTTGGCTTTTCCCATGCTGCAGGCTCCTTCTGGTTGCCAGAACAACAGAATACTCAAGTGCTAAACACACATGTGTATGTACACGAACATCTGGACACGTTTATTGGTATCCACAAGTTTTCCTGATAAAAAATGATAAATTGAATGAATTACAAAGCATTTTCAAACTTAAAATGTAATCCAATGTGATGATCCGAAACTCATACTTTCTGATCTTTCTGGAGATGCCTGTTTTGAATTACTTGTACTAGTTGAATTCATTTGTCAAAGGCAAATATTTAATTATTTCATCTTGTGTGTACATTTGCTGCTTTGTCTAAAATGATATTAGATTGATTCTCTTCATTGTTGGTTGAACAAAACAAGACATTTGACTGGGTCACATTGGAATGCAGGAAAAAGTGATTTTTCACTGTTCTTTGAAGTTGTGTAGACCAAAAAGGATCAGATTATTCTGTAAAGGAAATAGTCATCAATTGCAACCCTAATAGTCTTATTATTTCTTCTGCTGCATTCAGGTCTCTTGCAAAATGGAGATGAATAGAAATAGGATTTGTTGTGAATTTGAAACATCTCTGCTGGTTTTTCCCTACTTTTGAAACATATGAGTTTCAGTGAATGCATTAGAAAAATGTAGTTTATAATCAATAGTTAACTAGTGTCTGAGGAGCATGTCATTTGGCCAGTTGCACAGATTTCCATCTGATAAGTAAGAGCTATCTAGATTGAACATATAAAATGGCTAGCTTGCCTCCTTCTGTTTTTATATTCTCACTCATATTTTCTCTTTTTTTACCTTCTCCAATTTCTTCTCCAATATATTCTTTCATTACATCATCTCTCTGCAGCTGCCGTCTCTCTCCCTCTCTGGTGATATATATGTTGGTCATTGTCGCCACGTGGCTCTGGTGATTGGATCCAGGCCTGGTGGCTGCATGTGGTGAAGGTTTTTGGCCGGGGATTGGCAGACCATGAACTTACTGTATGCGACCTTGCAGACTGGGGGGAAAGCACATTATGCGCACAATACTGCATTAATGAACACATGCTTGCACGTCAGCCAACTTCAGTGGAAAAGTTTGCAAATTCTCAAAGTTGTCACTGGTGTTGTCGTTTTTAATCGGAGACGATTTATTAGTTCCTCCACCACCCGGAGACAAAGTGAGCTCACTACCATATTACAACTCTGTGAGAAATCTAACTAATCCTGTCTTTCCAACCCATCCCTGTTATACATTCTCACTCAGCATATTTATCCCACATCTTCACTTTTTCTTTCTTTCGTGTCCTCTGTCCTCCTATCTGTTCATCTCCATGTGTCTAGATGTCTCCTTTTCCCCTCTACGCCCTTCCCTCCACCCTAATCGCTCCATTCTCCCTTCAACACGAGCCAAATAGCCATTTTATTGTGCTGCGCTCACTTTGGATGCATATGAATATAAAACAGACTTCTCTTAAAGCAGCCTGAAGCATGCCCAGTCATCTGCTATGGTCTTTAAAATGTTCCTCACCTTCACCCAGTCACAACAACACTGATGGAAAAACACTTGAACTACTAAATCTCTTATTATATCCTTGTGTTTCCATTCAGGTACTACTTCAAAGTGCAGGCCAAGAACGTGTTTGGTTTGGGACCTGTGAGCAATACACTCACCTATGTCACAGAATCAGGTGTGTATCCTGTCAACGCCCGCTAAAGTCAACTTTTAGACGCCTCATTGACTCCACCGTCACTCGCTAGATTTTTTTCTGCTGTACTGGAGACATCCTGTTGGACGGCAGCATGCAACAAAAAATGTCACGGTGACGCTCATGGCATTGAAATACAAGATATTTAAATATAAAACCATCCCTGCAGTAAAAGCACACTACCAGATGTACGCTGTGCATTATGGGGTTTTCATTTTTCAAATCAGGAGAATGCATTAAACCTGCAGCGCTGCCTCTGTGCTTTTCCTCCCTGTGAAATGATCACATTTTTTTTTCCTTTCAGACGATCCTCTTCTCATCGAAAGACCACCTGGTAAGTCCATACACCGACTGCACCTCATTAATTGAACTTCTGCAAGTCAGCTGAAGGTTTTAAAGAGAGAAGCAGACTTCAGTTTGAATTGTAATCCACTTCTGATCTGAAGCTACTGTGTGAGGCAATCATCATTCTTTTTTCTTTTTAATTTACTTTTTATTGGCATTCAGTGTCAAACATTGTCACAACATATTGTACATTGCATCTTCACATGCGTGACATAAATCTGTTCTTTTTAGCAATATACACATGACACAAAAAACCCATTTGAGAAAGAAAACAGAAACAACAGTGAACAATTAGGGAGTAGACATGTCTTTACAGCAAAACCATCCTTCTTAATTACCCAGAATGATGTATAGGCCGACTTAAGCTTATTGCTGATACTTTACAGTGTATATGTTGGCCAATATTTATCCGTTTCTAATCGATATCAGTTTCTCCATAGCTCTAGCATGTCTTTTCACAACATACATGTTTCAATGCCACAACATCTGCTCCTCAGGCGGAGAACCAATCTGGATCCCTTTCAGCTTCAAGTTTAACTCCGCCCACAGCAGCTGTAAGGGCAGCCAGTATGTAAAGCGGACATGGTACAAGAAGTTTGTGGGCGTGGTCTTGTGTAATTCTCTCCGATATAAGATCTTCATGGGGGATGGTCTAAGAGGTAAAGTATAAATTAACTTCTACTTGAAAAAACAGTTAAAATCGATGGTTTTCCCATCAAAGAAATACTAAATATGATACTCACTTCTCCCCTCTGCAGAACCATTTTACAGTATAGGAGACACTTTTGGCCAGGGGGAGGACCATTGCCAGTTTGTGGACTCCTACAGGGACGGGAGGACGGGTCCAGCTTACCTCTCAAATAATCTGCCCTCAGCACAAGGTAAATAAGTTACAGATTTCTGGCATTGATATTCAGACCGGAGCTATTAGCTTTCTCTCATGCAGTCTGGCTCTTTATGGACCAGCTTGATGTTATCAATGCAGAGTACTGTTGCAGAGTCGTTTTAAATGAATACTTGTTAAAGAATCTACCAGTTTTGCTTGTTTTAGCCCAAATCTCATATGCTTTTCATTACCGTAGACCATTTCCCTAATTAAACCTTAACTTTGTAAATGAATGCCATTACTTGTTGGCTATCTGTGGTTCCAGGTCATATCAGTACACAGGGAAAATACTTGAAACTTGCTCGGGTTGAGTTATCCACCAACTTGTTTATTTTTATGTTTTATTTTTCTATAACAGTTAGATAACATTAGTGCGGTTTTATGATTGAAAGTAGCTGGTGTTGTGAAACACTTTTGATGTGTTTGACATCCAGATCACTCTACAGATGAACCTTTCCAATGCAAGAAAATAACAAATCCACCATATAATCTTCAACAACTTGATTACAGATTTCCAATTAAAATACCTCATGCGTGTTATTTTAAACTGAGTTGTAATGATGTAGAAGTTCTGTGTATTGACTTTTATTTAGAAATGAAGGCTGTTCCAATTCTCTATTTTTCAACAAAGCCAGGGAAATACTTAAATGTTTGACGTCTGTGAATATTATCTGATTTTCTATCCCTAGTACGGATTATCAAGCCCAATACAGGGGTCACAATTATATAGTTTCATTGAAAGCCAAAAGAAAAACAAAGCTCAGTTATCTTCCTAGAAATGATAGGCACTGTAGTTTATTTTAATTAGCAATTGATTCTAATTTGGAACACAAGTGAGTATTTACAGAAGTAGGATGTATCTGTATGTGGGAGTGACTCTTAATGCCTACAGTATGTTCGTTATAAGAAACAGGTCCCACAATGCAACAGTGCAACACATTGGTTTGTTTTTAATCGTTTTTGGACATCAGTGATGGTCTACAGCACAGAGGAATCTTTTCATCAGTCATGGATACACAGACAATCCAAAGATTTCAGCTGTGAGAGGCCCTGGGAGACTGAAAAATTGACATGATGTCAAGCAAATACATAACTAAGAAATTGCTAACAGTGATTAATGATGATTACATCCAGACATGCTGAATTCAAGTCTCCTGTAAAAATAATTTCTCTCTTTTACAGGATATTATCGCGCCTACAGACAGCAGCCAGTTTCATTTGGAGTCGTTGGCCGACGCACAGCCCATCCATTTGTTGGCTGGTATGAATGCGGGGTGCCCATCCCCGGGAAGTGGTAACACAGGGGGAGACGTTGTTACCGAGGGCAACCCTTCCGCATCCTGCTGCAGGCTCTTACCTTCACTGGTCTTGCCTTTAAAAACAGACTTTTGCCTGCCACAATGAAATTACACCACTATGAATTTATCCCAGCTTCACAGAAAGAGAATATAGTAAACGACCCAATGTATATCATTACAATGCACTTTTTATATAAAGCAGTTTGTATATGAGGGAAAAAATAAGCATGTGTGCTATTGCTACGTATAACTCTTCTTAAAGTGTCATTGTATTATTCCCAACCATCCCCAAAGACATGTCCTCACCCAGTGTTATTTATCTCATCAATAATGCACACGCACCGTCAAACCAGTGACATCGGACTAAAGCACAAGCTGCAAAGTAAACTGTAAGAACGGGCACTTAAAGGTGTGTATAGGTCTGTTCATTTTCTATTGTGAGATTTGTATTTCATAACGTAACAGCTTCTGACAGCTACTTTTTGTTTGTTTGTTTGTGTTCTTAATCCATCATACTGTGTTTTTGCCCTGTTACACATTTTTGGTATTCACCAGAATTCATTAAAAGTTACTGTGTAAGTTTTGTATGTATACGGACCGTGAATAAAAGACCAAATATTTGCTCAGGAACTGTGAGAGATTGAATAAAAGTGCTATTAAAAGCACAGCCATCCAAAAACATGAATCACATCATATTCTCCTGCTGCCACATTCTTCTTTAGCTAAAGCTCCAACAGTATACTTAAATCCACCTAATGGAAAATTGGAGGGAAACTTTGATCCATCTGGCACAGCAACTGTTAAAATAAGACAGAAAACCAAACGTATTGAACCGAAGCAGGTGAAGGGGAAATATTGGCTCAAGCATGTGAGCAAATGGGGAAGAAACCATGTGTACGGTTTTAGCACACACAACCCATAAATATCCACATTTGCCTTGGATCGCTTTTGTACCATAAATCTATTTGGTTTGAAATCAGTGATAAATAGTTATATATACTCAAGTACATTTCTTCAGTATATACATTTTATTTGTAATACTTGTGTATTGAAAGTATACAACTAATGAGTACATTACATCCATTTTATTTTAAACGAGAATACTATATGTTCTAATATTACATTTTAGGATTATTAATACTATAAATGCACTTTAATGCATTTAACTGTTGTAGTTGGTCAAGGTGGAGATAATTTAAATTAACGTAATGTATTATATTTTAATATTATAGCATCTTTCTTGTGCAATGTAACCTTTAACTGTTAATATGAAGGGAGGTCAAAAGTATTGGTATAAAGCTGCAGAAAATGTAAATACTTGTTAAATGTAAAAACATTCCTCCAGTTTTTTTTTAATCTATATTTTTTAATGCAATATTTTTACTTGGAATGGAGTATTTCACCAATGCTTCATTTCTTATATTACTCCGGTAAAGGTTATGAATACTTTTCCAATATTGCTGAAATAGGACTCACATCTGCGGTGTTAGAGTTGGAGAGGCCTACAGGACACATTTGTTGAAGATTTGTAGATCATTAGTGCCTTTTTGATCCTTGAAACGGAGTATTCATCGAATTACCTGACGGATGAGTTCAAACATTTCTTCCAAAGTTGCTAACTACCGATAAAATCTTTTACAGGGAATACACTTTCATTTTCATGCCCAAAACCAATTATCGAGGTCCGCTTTTATTATGTTGTTCGAATTAAACTCCATCTGTGTAAAATAACAGAGTAAAAAAAGGAAAACGTTTCATAAGTGGTTCGGCTCAAGAAACCAGGTGGAAACTATTTCACAGATGAATATTAACAAATGGAGAGGTCTGTATGGCATGTGTTGCCAATTATTCAGTATTGCAGTTATGAGATTTGGATTCATTTTCAAGATTGATTGCTCTTTCCGTAAAGCCCAACGGCAGAACTGGCACTGCCCTTTTCACTGCTGGACTAAAACTGATTGCAACTGTCAGATTTATTATAGAAAAAGTTGATGATATCCAGTAGCAGCAAGGCTACTCATTTTCAACACATGCAACACAACTCCGCCATATAGCAAGTTACGTATCACTTTTAATAATCCCCATCATTCCTCCAGGAGTAGAATACGATTTTTATAACATACAAAGGTTGAGCGTCATGCTATACATCCATCACTGTGACACCTTCACTTACTCAGCCAAGAATAGGATTCAAAGTTCACTGAGAAATAGCTGAAGAAATGCAGAAATCTCCAAAAACATTCCCATTACATTAAGCAGAGTTGATTCAGCTCTCACTTACCTTACTTGAACTCTGCAGAGTTTCAAAGGTCTGACCGGCACTCCTTTATCGGGCACTAGCTTGTTGAGGTTGGCTCTGATGTACAAAAGCAGTCAGATTTTAAAGACATTGAATTATGATTGAGTTTTGAGAGGGCATGACATATTTTCCCTTGGCAGTGAAAGAGCGATAATGCTTGTTTTGAAGTGATTTGTCGACACTTTGGTGGAAGGTGTCATATATCAAGTGTATTTTCCAGGTATGCTGAGGGTGGATGAAAGCCTCTGTTGCTTGTGTTGTCGGTGAGGGGATGAAATATTTTCATTGGCTGCATGTTGCCTTGAGTTGACCACAATATGGAAATGTAAATCAATGCATTATGGGGAATCCCAATCTGAAAGTACATGAAAGAAATGGGGGGAAAGCGAAGAGGAGACAGAAGAACAAACACACTTCTAAACATGCGTACATGAAGGCTACCACATCTGTTTCAGATGTTACAGCTAAAGTTGTAGTTAAACTCGTATGTGTGCTTGTGTGTATCTCGTTCAGAAATGATGACTGCTGTCATAGGGAAGAAGAAAAATAGATAAACTATAACCAATATAACAGGGGTTCCAAAGCTACAAGCTGAAAAAACATGAACGTGGTCCAGGATTTTAACTCTGCACCACTGCAAGGAAATCGTTTTTGGAAAGACCTGAAACGCATAAGTTAGAGCATGTGATTCTGAAACCCCTAGCTGTGGCATTTTAACAGCCTATTCATCAAAATAAGTTAAAAAACCTTTGCTTCAAACAAGAGTTCTGACCCAACAACAAGTCTGGATGTCACACATATCATCACAGACAGTAAGAGACGAAACACACAGAAGGGGTTCTTACTTTATAGCTTTGACTTTTAATTACGACATAAAGACTGCCAAACAAACTGAAAACAACTAAGAGAAAGTGCAGAACGAGGTGTCAACGTATTATTACACGTTTAGATGTGAGACTGGGTTGGGTGTCCAAATATAGGAATTAATGAGCCATCTTTTTCTTTTTCCAACCATGAAATGATACAAGAGGAGGACAGGGTGAAGCTCTGTGCAACCCTCTGCTTAACAAGACATTATTTGGTGACCAAAATGTTAAAATGAACCTTCACGAACTGAAAACAAAGTGTCAAAATCCCGAACAACGCAAGTTACGTTATGTTGAGGCAGAAATTCTCTAGAAATGATTTATCTTGAGGAGGTTATTATGGGTAATCGCTCAGTTTGACTGTGGAGCCAACGGGTTAGCAAACTGATTAATTGATAGAACTTCCGACTGCAGGTAGAAAGAAGAGAAACATAATACAAAACAAAGAATGCTTGTGAACATGTGCTCACAAGTAGCATTTAGAAAGCTATTGGTTATTTCCCTCTCTTGGAATAGATCATTATGCTCGATTATTAATTGCTGTAGCTGCTCTACTCCCCAGTGAGGCTAACGCTGATAAAAGGCTATTGAAGACCACAATCACATCATGTATCTGCTGGAATCTAAAACACACACACACACACACACACACACACACACACACACACACACACACACACACACACACACACACACCGCTTTAATAAACACAGTTTGGCTAATCAAATGTAGGATCACTGATAGTCGTTTTCTCTTCTCATTAAGAATTGTCCTCATTTTTCAGCATTGAAAATTGGATCATGAACTGGATTGTGATTGCAGCTCCTTTGATCGACAAGCCAACAGCTGACATCAGAAGACTGAAGGATGAAATAGTGAGCGCGACCAATATCCACACAGTGTACACATAAATAAAAACCCATACACACACCAACGCTGCCTTTTAAATTTGTCCAAGGATGTTGACATGTTGCTTCTATTCAGCCTAGCTAAGACCAAGACATCCATCTGTGATGACACATCAATAACACATCATATGTCAGCGATTTTCCAGCGTGTGTCACATGTTCTGTAATAGTTTTCAGTCAAGGTCTATGCACAGAGGAAACTGCAGATCTTTTATATAAAAAGAGGGCAAAAGGCCACGCCAGCTTAATTGAGTCCAGGCTCAGCTGACTTTCCACACGTGGATCTTACATTCAAATTCAGCTACTTTTTAAACCGGCTGCTCAGAGCCAGAAAATTACTCCTTTCTTTAATGTATTGATCAAGAGAAAGCTTAATTCCATACATTTGAATATACCATAACATTGATTAATTACAGCAACATTTCAATCTTATGAGAAAAATGCGTGGTTGAAAAAGAATGCAGGTTTCCACATGCTGAGTTTTTTTTTGTTTCTTTTTGATAGAAGTGGGTCACATGCTGGAAAAAGTTAGACTTCATTCTAGAGAGCTGAAATCATCGCACACAGAATCAGTTGAAGGTTGAAGAGGGAAAAGTACAAGAGAGTGGAAAAAGGGTGAGAAGCAGACACTCAAAGTCAAGAATTTAACAAGCAACGTCATGTTTTATTTCCGTTCTCTATGTTCAGAACTTAGATAAGCTTACGTTTAGATAAGATAAGCTATGTGATACTTAACAGATGGGGAAAGTGTTTTCTTTGTGTTTATCTATTTTAACAATACTGTAAGTCAAACCATGAGGGATATGTGCAAAATAATTAATTTCTTTGTCGTATTTGGAAAACGTTTTAGTTAAAAGAGTCCGATTTCTATTCTTACCGAGCTGTTTTTTTTTTAAATAAATCTGACTTTTCTTGGTTTAAGAAAATACTAATCGTGATAGACAAGAAGATCGTAAGGCCCCTAGATGAAACAGTTGAATCTGTGTAATAATAGTTTAAATAATATTACATGTATTGGAAGAGAAATCAGACTGGCAAGAGAGAGGATGTGCAGAGAGTCCAGGGGGAATATTGAGTATCGTTAGCTGTATCAGTCACAATGACAGGAGCCATAAACAACAGAGACCGAAAACAGATTGTCCCTCTGAACAAGCTTTTCATGAAAAAAAAGTTTAATGGAAATTACAGATCTGGGATTTCCTAATTGCTCAGAGACCTAATATTTACTGAACTCCAAGATGACATAACAGGCCGGCTGCACTGACAGAGACTCAGATCACCGTTTTTTTTTTTCTGGATGAAAGTCGGGGCTCTGTTGTGATCGCTACTCTGAGCTCATTGTAACAGTCAGTAATGAACTCAGCCTCTGTAGCCTTGCAATTATATCATGCTTTAGGCATGCCCATAGGTCACGCATTAACCTAAGGAACTCTGCAGGGGGATTTAAAATGTGAGCCTAGAGGAGTCACTGTATCATTTCCTATCACGATATATTTCAGAGGTAATTACATTATATGGTGACAGGAGGTTTAGAGATATAGTTTCGAGTTGTTTTAT